CCCTGACCCGGAAGCGCCCGTCTTCCCCTTCCGGGCCGCCGGCCTCCCTAGCAACCACGGACACTTCCGCCTGGCAACCATGGACGGTAACACTTTCGCCCCCGAGCCGCCCTGCTCCCTTCACACAGTGCCCCGCGGACGGGACTGAGGGCTCCCCTATAAGAATCGCACACTCAAGCAGCACACTGATAATTATGTGCGATTTCAAGCTGCTGTGTATTTGAATATGTATTTGTGTATATATATTTTAATTTCAGCCAACAGTTGTAACAGTGACACTGGGTGTTTCTCAACAGATGGTGAGGTTTTTAAAGCGCCTTTCATATTCCCAAATAAAGACAAGTATGGTAAGAAAATCTTGGTAGGTGCTAATTCCTTTTGCAAAACGGAGTGTATGGGGTTAAAACAGAAGAAATCTATACCAGTTTCAGGGTGAGGGTTTGCGGTGGTTTGACCTTGGCTGGATGCCAAGTGCCCACAAAAGCCGCTCTATCACTCCCCTTCTCAACTGGACAAGGGAGAGAAAATATAACGAAAAGCTCGTGGGTCGAGATAAGGACAGGGAGATCACTCAGCAATTACCATCACAGGCAAAACAGGCTTGACTTGGGGAAAATCACTTTAATTTATTACCAATCAAAACTGAGTAGGAGAGGAGTGAGAACACGTGTAGGGTAATGACAAATAAAACCAAATCTTAAAACACCTTCCCCCCCACCTCTCCCTTCCTGTGCTCAACTTCACTCCCGATTTTCTCTACCTCCTCCCCCCAAGCAGCGCAGAGGGACAGGGAATGCGGGTTGTGGTCAGTTCATCACATGTCTCTGCTGCTCCTTCCTCCTCAGGGGAGGACTCCTCACACTCTTCCCCTGCTCCAGCATGGTCCCTCCCACGGGAGACAGTCCTCCATGAACTTCTCCAATGTGGGTCCTTCCCACGGGCTACAGTTCTTCACAAACTGCTCCAGCATAGGTCCCTTCCATGGGGTGCAGTCCTTCAGGAGCAGATGGCTCCGGCATGGGTCCCCCACGGGGTCACAAGTTCTGCCAGCAAACCTGCTCCAGCCTGGGCTCCTCTCTCTCCATGGGTCCACAAGTCCCGCCAGGAGCCTGCTCCAGCGCGGGCTTCCCACAGGGTCACAGCCTCCGTCAGGGCACATCCACCAGCTCTGGTGGGGGGTCTGCCATGGGTTGCAGGTGGATATCTGCTCCACCATGGACCTCCATGGGCTGCAGGGGGACAGCCTGCCTCACCATGGTCTTCACCAGGGGCTGCAGGGGAGTATCTGCTCTGGTGCCTGGAGCACCTCCTCCCCCTCCTTTTTCACTGACTTTGGTGTCTGCAGAGTTGTTCCTCTCACATATTCTCACTCTGCGCTCCAGCTGCAGTTTGTGTCCCAGTGGTGGGGTTTTTTTTCCTTTCTTAAATATGTTATCAGAGAGGTGCTACCACAGTTGCTGATGGGCTCAGCCTTGGCTGGCAGCAGGTCCATCTTGGAGCCAGCTGGCATTGGCTCTATTGGACATAGGGGAAGCTTCTAGCACCTTCTCACAGAAGCCGCCCCTATAGCCACCCTGCTACCAAAACCTTGCCACGCAAACCCAGGACAGGGTTACATAAGTGACAAGTGACCCTGAAGCTGCGCAGCTGAGGTGGGGAGGCCCCTCTGGAGATTCCCAGTCCCCTGCACACACAGGGGACCCCACAATGGCTGCCCTGGACCGTATCCCATCGGGTCTTGAATATCTCCATGGATGGAGACTCCACAGCTCCTCCAGGCAACCAGTACCAGGTTGGAGTCTAAAGCAAAAAATTTTACCAGCAAAAATGGACTGTTACTCAAGTAACACACTGCTTTGGCTGTGTAAGAACCCCCCCCCAGACACACAGATGCTGCTGTGGGGGGTGCTTCCTCAGGGTGCTCCTGCAGACGGCCACAGCCACCGCCCTCATGGTCCACTGGGGGGTCTGCCCCACGCCAGCTCCCCACCACCCCCACAGTGGGGCTCAGCGGTGGTGGAAGAACAGGTAACAGGACTGCTGCTGGCTCGCACTCTGTGCGTGCCACCCAAAGGTGCCCGCTCCAGCAGGGCTTGTGTGCTCCAAGGGCCCATCTGTGGGAGCCCATCTCTGTCCACAGGAGATGGAGAGTCAGCTCAGGGAGAAATGGCTCTGTGCAACAGAAGAAATGCATTGCATGATCTCATAGGTTTTTGCCTCTCAGATGCTCTCTGTCTTGAAGTGAAAATACCTGTCTTCCACCACTCTCATTTTCTAGAGGAGGAGTGCAAAAGGACACCTGAGGGTGTACTTGAGAGGAACGGTCATGGAGTCCACACTGGCACCAACGGAACTATATACGTCGGCAGCTGGAAAAATGACAAGGTAATTTTAAGCATTCCTTCATTTTAAACTTTCTCTGGGTTCAGAATGGAGTGTGTCTCACTATATCCACCCTTAAAAAGACATAGAAAGGAAAGTCATAACCTGAGAGGGTTATGCCGCAGGCTCTTCTTCCACCTGTGAATCTTGTCACAGCCCAGTCTGAAGACTTGAGACCTTTGGGGTCTTCAGATGTCCTGCTGCCTCCCAAGGCTCCTGCAAACAAACCGGCCATTGCTGGCACACAGGCCCTGGTGAAACACTCAGGCAGTGTGGTGCTGGTGGTGCCCAGCACAGCACAGCCACCGTGAAAGCCCTGCATGAATGAGCTGTGCACACATAGTAAGGTAGGCATGGTCCTCCTGCATGTGTATATACATCACACACACATCCCACAATGAAGGAGGGGAGCTCTGGCCATTGACCGATACACCACTGTTTGGCTGCCCTTGGTTACTGAGTCCCCCAGGAATGAATTAGTAAGTGTAGGAAAATTGCTTATTTTGTGAATGCTGGAGAGGAGACAGTCCTTGAAATGAGACAAATAAGGGTCTGCAGTTAGGAAACAGCACCTTGTGGCTTTATTAGATCTAGTCTGGCCTTTTTTTCAGTCTCTTACAAAAATATTGGTGCAATAAGAAGAATTAAGATTATGGCACAGAAGTGCTTTACAGCACAGATTTAAATCCCCAGGCGTGGCTTAGTGGCCTAGGCTGAACAAATTAAAGACTTGCTCTGCCTTCATCCACAGAAACAAATTCTGGAAAATTTAGTTAACCGCTCAGGCTGTCAGTGTAGATGGGTTATTTGCAGGGCTGGGGACAACAGTTTCGTGCTCCATAGATTGTTAAGATCCTGTAAGACTACCATCAGAGGAGGGGTTTATTGGACACTGTGGCTGGCCAAAAATTTCTAAGCTCTTACCTAAAATCCTTGTAGAAGCAGGAACCTGTCTAAATCTCAAAGAATAGTCACTTTCCTCTCCATTATCATATCTGAATATGATAGTAGACTCAAAGGCAGCAATCTGAAAGGATATTGTAATGAAAGGAATAATAATGTAAGCATAAACATTAACCATTTTCTTTATCCTTCATCTCTCATTAAATGCAGATGAATGGTACTGGAAGGCTAGAACCTTCTGGGACAGTTTATGAAGGTGAGTTCAAAGACAACATGTTTCATGGGTCTGGAACCTACACATTTCCAAATGGAGCAAAGTACATTGGACCATTCAAGGAAAACAAGTATGTTTGAAGTGGAAGAGTCGTGTAGTCTTTTCTATTAGTTTTGATTTCATAAGCTGTAAAGTCCAAATAAAATTCACCCAGCATGGGAGTAGGTTTCTTTTGCTACCGGTAAAACTTGCACTGGATATCTGAGATTGCTGATCCCAGTTGTATCCTTTTCATGAAATCAGTCAAAAGTCTGTGATTCATTCCGAGTCAGAAGTTTTCAAGATGGTTATTCTACCCACCCACTTTTTGTTTCCAGGTTTCTGGGCTCAGGCAGAGTTCAGAGAAATAGAACAGTTCAGACCCCTTTCAGAGCTGTTGTTTCAAGCTGTCTGCCTACAGATACATGCAGAAATACAGTGCTGATTTGTGCTGATAGTTTGCAAAGTTTGTGTTTACTTTTTTTTTGAGGTAAAGTACAAATTTCCAAGAGAAATTTCAGGGAAAATGTGGAGGTTTAGTTTCATCACTCAGAAGAAAATATTTTAGTGCCACTCATATAAATATCAGCTGAAGTAATTTCTTTTAAATAAGGGTGTGTGTTTTGAATTGCTAAGATACCGTCTTTTCCTAAAACAAGAAGCTGATACCCACTTCATAATCCACAAAGCAAATTTAATGAGAAAATTAACTGTAAAAAAATGACATGAGAACATTCACGTTTATTCTCCTTAAAAGACTTCTCTGTCAAATTTGCTAGGTTTGATTTAGGTTTAATTTTTCTTTAAGTACCTCCCCAGTCCAGTATCTGAAATAAATCTAAAATGTATGTTTGTTAATATGTGGTCTTTCGTCAGAAAAAAGGCTCTGTCTTCTTGCACTGCTGACCAAAAATGATAGTCCTACAATAGTACTAGAATGATGACCAATTCTGTTTTCAAATGAGCAGACACTAAATGAAGCATGTGTTACAGAATGTACCTGGATACAAAATGGGAACCTGTGTGACGAACTCAAATGTTTGGGGAAAAATTAAAGACATTTATTTCAATGCTTTAGAACAGATGGAGTTAAGTTACGCCTGTATTACAGAGGCATGTTAAAATCTGCTAGAGCTTCTGTCTTTTGCTGTCATATTACATGACAGACATGAATTCTGCATGAAGTCTAAACCTGTGAGTACTCATCACTTCAGCGAGGGCATTCAGCAGTAGATCATATATGTAGCTTTTTCTCTCAAAAATCTTACGGTGATGCCTCTACTCTCTTGTGAAAATATAGCCCATTGCAAAGGGGCCAGCACAGTACTTGTCACTAGCAGCTGACCTGTAGAGAAAACCAGCTGGTTCTGATTCAAACTTGTGATTTCAACTAACTAAAATGCTGATGTAGATACACCCTTGGCAGCAGAGATCCAATCTTTGCCAGCCACTGCTGTTTTCACCAGGGAATTAAGACTTCTCCTTTTTCACACTGGTTTGTGACTGTTAACACGCGCCACTCCCTGACAGTCCAATGCAGGCTATTTTGCCAAGTTTCAGGATTGCTAGTTTTCACCTACTCACACAAGATAGGTGCCAGTTCACCAGATCACTGCGGCTTTCATGAGAGAATATAAATAGGTAGCACCATAGCAACTTTCTGTGACTGCTAGGTGGCTTCATTTTTTAAGGGAAACAAATCTCCAGTAATTTATTTTAAAAGTTATTTTCCCCTCATTAGCAAGGGATGTTGATGCATAGACATTTCTTCTTTATAGCAATTTTCAGATATAATTATAATCTTGATCACAGCTGTCAAAGATCAGCAGAAATATGTGATTTATGAGGACAGAATTCACATAGCAGTTACTTTTTTTTTCCCCGCAGGAGGCTGTAAATCCTCGCACTTTGTCATAACAGCATGTAGCAGGATGGGGAAAGGGTAAGAGAGGATGGATTTTTACAGCAAGAAGATCACACAGTAACTGGCTGCATACACTTACGCACCTTTAAGATGCCCCTAATGAAAGTCAGGATAAACTTCATAGGACTTAATCCCTGGTAACTTCAAATCATGACTGGGACTATGAAGTTTTTCCTGTACAGGCTACATGCTGGGATGATGTTAATATAAAGACAGTTTTGCAAAGAAAGGAATACATTCCTTGGCTGTCTAACCTGTGTGCTTTGTAGGTCAAAACTTTTACAGGCTACAATGTGGGTGAAAGTTAAGGCAAGTACTGACACTACACTGGGAAGGTTCTCTGATTCCTGGCAATTTGCTTGTCTGGGTAGTGCACACATCGCCATGCTGCCACAAACTGATTGCATTCTCAACAGGCTGGACTTATGTCTTTACAGGATGGAAGGTGAAGGAGACTTTATAGATGAAAGTGGAGTGGCACATTTCATGGCTCGGCAGCAATGGGACTGAAGCAGAATTTGAAAATATAGCTCTTTGGCACAGACAGTAGCACAGGTTAAAGGCAGCTCTCTGATTGCATTCTGGGCTCAACAGCTGTGACCACTTTTCAACAGGCATTGATTTCTTCATGTAAAAACAACCCCTGAGGATGCATGTCAATAGTAAATAAAATTATTTCTCTTTTCAGACTGATCAGCTGAAGTCTTCTAAGTGAAAATCTTAAAGAAATGAAGTTGGATAGGGTGAATTTATAAGTGGAGCAGTTGATGACTAGAATTTTTATTTTTTTATTTTAACTTGCCCTAGGAATGTCTTTCTCCCTGAGTTTCAAAAAAGCCTGTCATCAACAAATGAAGCCTAATTTATGCTCAACTTCTGTAGCTTTCACCAGAAAACAAACTGTGCCACCCACAGAAGCTTTTGCAAACACAGTGTTCATATGAGCATGTTTACCCTAAGCCAGGAGTTGCATAGTGGGCTCAGGGCAGAGGGCAAGTGCAGCTCTAATGTGGTAGCTACTCTTCACAGGTCAAGCCCATAAACCCTAGGCTCCAGCACCAGACTGCTCAAGGACAGACCTCTGCCATGCACCAAAGCTGCTTTTCTCTGGGAAGGGAAGTAGACAGGAGAGCGCACAGGTGAGACTCATTGTTGCCACTGTCCCATCAGAAGGTCTAATGCAATGAAAAATCTATTTTTGTTTGTGTTTGGTCATCAAAGGTCTCTCCACTCTGAATCTAAACACTGCTTTACAAAGCAGAAAAAGCTTTCTAGCTTAAAAAAAAAAAACCACAACATACCAGTGCTATCAGGAAAAAAATGTGTTGAGTCTTTGCTTGCCAGATATTTAATGGAGTTTTAGTAAATACCTGTCCTTGCCTCCATTTGCAGATACAATGTACAAATGCTGTTCCTTCAGATATGTCTTCAAATACTCAGCCCATTTTGCTAGGCTTTGGAAAAATCGTAGGCCCTGTGGTTTCTTAGCAAAATGAAAAAACAGCACATTATCAGCAGACTGAAACATATTGGTCCATCTGAAACAAAGCAGCTCATGGATCATTTGGCAATATATCACCTTGCAGGCCTTTTTCTTAAAGCTGCCTGTAGGAAAATCTCTATTTGACATGTTTTGTTCATACAGTCATGAAGCTAAATGGGTTTTATTTATTTATTTTTAAAAAATCTTTCCTAACTTGAGCTGTTTGTTGAATTCACAGGTTCTTTGACTCACCAAAAATACACTTTCTAGCAAATTCCTTCAGAATCATCATTCTATTTTGTTCAATTTTGTTGTGTTTTGGTCCTGAAATAGCCAGCTCCAAAAAAGAAATACAGTGTCCTCTGTCCCTAGTCCTTGACTTCAGAGGTAGCAGCATCTTCCACAGAGCTTCTGTTGATCTATGAGCCTATCCTTTCAGCTCCTTTGCTACGTACAACTCCACATCATCACATTTATCTGTGCTGCACAGCAATTACAGTGATTTAGGCTGTGTGGTTTTACATTTCAGGTTTTCTGTCTGAAGGGTATCTTTGAAGCAGATCTTTGTCTTTCAGGGAGAAATTAGTCTGCTTTTTGTTGCTGTTTGTCCTCCTTTATGTCTCCCTGCTCTTACACTTCAGAGTAACTCACTGGACTGGCTTAGACCTTTTCCTGACACCCCTGTCCTTGGGTTACCTGCATTCTCCCCATGCTTCCTTGATGCCCTTTGGAGCAAAAAAGCCCTGCAGGATCTTAGTGAAGAAATAGAGCAGGCGTGGAGGGCTGCTGCCTCCCACTATCCCACCTCCCTTCAAGCCCTTATTTATTTTTACTCAAAGGAAATTTTTCATGATCTAACAAGCAACAGAAAATACACAAGTGCTGGTGGTTGCTGCTCCCCTGCCCTGGCTACTTTGGCAACCTTGCTCTTGGCCCCTGAATGAAAGAAAGGGAGCCCTCTTGGCCCTGGCATCCCTAGTGAGGCCATGCATGGTAGGAGACTGAGGGTGTCAGAGAAAGTGGGGAGAAGCTGGTCCTGTCTCCCTGTCCCCAACCACAGGCTGCCTTGCTTGGGTGCCACAGGAGGTAATTAAGAGCCTCTGAGCTCGGTGAAGTAGCAGAGACCACATCAGCACCCAGCTCTCACCACACAGCCCCCTCTGCTTGTCACTTCACAAGGCTTCTCACCCTCCCTTCGCAGCAGTGTGCAATTCTAATTAAAAAGGAAAAAAGTTGGTATCAACTTCTTCCAAGCACACAGTCCTGGTTTTTGTATGGGGATGCAAGGATGTGACCTGAAGATTACATAATTAGAAGGCATTTGTTATGCTTGCATTTCAAATCAGTGATTAGCATGTGACAGTCCCATCCTGGGAAACGTCAAGCCACCATTGCTCTCCTCTCTCTCTCCTTTCGTGCACAGTGCTAATTCCCAACTCTGGCAACCGCCAGTGCTGAAGGATCTTCAACTAGCCTGGGGTAAGTTTAAAATGTACTCGGCATGGGATGAAGAGTGGGATTAATAATACCATTTTTCATATTACTGGAAAAAGGTAGAGCTGTAGCTATTTAATGTTGCATGTGCAGCACATAAAATAGTATTTGAAGTATTTTGCATCTTCAGTGCCCACAGCTATTTCCAGCTGATTTCTTCTAAGACTGTGTATGAAGATCAATCTTAGTGTGCTGGAGGATCTTGTAAGGCTGCATTTATAGTAAGGTCTCTAAAATACCAGGTTAAAAAGACCTTTTTTTCTCTTACTATTTAAGAGCTAAATTGAGGTATCATGCTGAATTGAAGTATTTGAATGACAACTGAGTTAGAGTTAGCTGAAGACAAAAGCGTGAGAGTAAATCACTGATTTTTTTCTCTCTTTAGAGGACTGGGGGTTGTTCTCCAAGTAGGATATTTAGAACAGCCAGCAATCTCAGCTGGCAGGATTGAGACAGTCACCAGGAAGATCCCAAGCATTTATTTAGGAAAGTTGTGGATGTTGAACAACTGAGGCAGCAAAAGTGCATATGGATTCCCCTGCACTGTTACTCGTCCTAATTTCAGAAGCAGAATGGGACAGAAAGCAAACAATAGTAACTGTTGTCCATCAAGGCTAGGCTGTAAATGCTTTACTGTTTGCATGCTGATGCTCGGGGTATTCGGTGGGTCTTTTTAACAAGTGATCCTCTGCACAGTTTTGCCGTTCAATGTTAGGGGAGCACTGGAAGGATGAGCATGGTCACACAAATGCAGCACAGGCTGCGAGACCTGCCTCCCCTATGCACAGCTTCGTGCAGGAATCCCAGCCCTGTGCTGCCTCAGTGACACCTCGCTCTGGTCTTCGACCCTGTGCCTGGGGCATAGCTAAAGGCTGCAACCCACTGGGACCTCCCCGTCCATCCACACCTTCCCCCTTGGGGATCTCATGGGAAGTGGGTGCTGGCTTAGGCTCTGTTAACTTTCACACGCTGCCCACTGCTCTGGAGGGGCTGCAGCGCCAGCTGCTTGTGCAAGGCACCAGGGCAGTATTCTTTGCTGGACTCCAGTGGCTGGAATCATGGTGATCACTCATGGCAGAAGTGTCACGCAGCTTTCGTTCTTGGGCTTGGCAGATTTGGCTGCTGGAGGGAAGATAGAGACAAAAGGGGAAAATACTTCCTTTTGCCCTGAAACTAATCTCTGGGCTTTGCTCTGGATATGTTATTCTGGCTTGATGAGAGCTGCAGGAGGGTAAATGAGTTTTAATGCTCAGCTCTGAAGAAACAAGCATGTCTTTACTGTTTCTTGTCCCTAAAGCAGGGGGGCCATGGGCTTGGGTTATGGGCCAAGACAGTCTGCTGATGGCTTCACGTGACTGGGTGTTGAGCCTGTCCAGTGGGGAGCTTGCAGAGGAACAATAATAACAGCTCCTTGTTGATGAGGGAACTACCCTGTGGTGGGCTGGCATATCAGGCAAGCCTTAGATTTACTGTGGGTGGAGGCCTGACGGTGGTTTAGGAAAGCAGCCTCATGGAGGGCTTGCTCTCGCAGCTAATATGCATATGCATTCATGTATGTGCATATGGGAAGGGGTTAAGGCTGTGGGGCTTGCTCAGTACTGAGAAAAAAAGGTGAAGGGGGGATTATCTTGCAGCTTTTAACTGCCTCAAGGGGGCTATAAAGCTGACAGAGTCCAGATTCTTCCCAGAGGTGCACAGTGAAAGGCAATGGGCACAAGCTGCAGCAAAGGGAAACCCCAGCTGGATGGAAGGAAAAATATTCTTCCCCAGGGTACTGGAGCGCCCAGAGAGGCTGCGAAGACTCCAGTGTGTGAAATACTCAGACTTGAGCTGGACACAGCCCTGAGGAACCTGATCTAGTTTGGAGTTAGCCTTGATCTAAGCAGGAAGTTGGACTAGAGTAGTTCCTACTCACTTAGACTCTGCTGTGAGCTTACAACTTGTTCACTGCCAGCAGAGGCAGGATTTGACCAAGCAGCCCACATCCAGGGTCTTAGGGCCAAATGTCAGTCCTATTTTCCAACCCCTTTTTGTACCCTTTAGGAACAACCTAGCCACTGTTCAGCCAAGTCAGGCTGACTGAAACCCTTGTCCCTGGTGAGGACAGTGTTACCAGCTTCCCCACCTGGCAGTCAGAGGGAACAGAGGACAAGCATTCCCTCCAAACCATGGTGAGGTGCACTTTTTGTTTGTTTTAGAGATGATAAAGGACTGACTAGGTTTGCTCTGTGTATTTGGCAATTCAGAAGAACCAGGGACAGGCAGGCAATGATATATTCGTGGAGTCCAGCAGTGAGCCCTAAATGCTGGAAAGTAGCCAGTGTAATGCAATTATTTAATGTATCAAAGAACAAAGGGGTGACTCAGGAAATTGCAGGCTGCAGCTGAAGGACACATGAAAGACAGTACTCTGGTAAAACAGGGAAGATTTTCTGGACCCACTTAACCAAGGTCAACCTACTTTGCAGTGAGGTCATATAGCAGAGCTCCTCGTGGTGCCTGGAGCAGGAGGGGATGGTGGCATCCCCGGTGTCCCAGTTTCAAAGCCTCACT